TTCAAGGAGCGCTGTGTCAACTTCGTGGTATCGAGACTGCCGGTTAGCTCTCGCCTCCAACTTCGTAGGACTTTTTACATTATCCTCGATCCTTTCTCTATCCTTTAGGAATCCAGCGAGCGTGCCATGGGACACTCCGTATTTCTCTTGCACGAAGATTCGCTTGATACCCTTGTCAACGTCCTGAATCATCGAGTACTTCTCTGCGAAGGAGAAGCGCTTGCGCTTGAGAGATTGTTCAGCCATGTTCACTAAACAACGTCTGATCGGCAAATAAGATAAATCACAGCGACACTAGGCAAATGTCGCCCTTTTACGCGATTTCTCGAGATCGATCGAGCCTCGTATCGAGTTGGTTTGTCTACGCCTACGGTACAGTAAGGCAACCCAAGCAGCTCGTGCTTGAGCTTATCGATTTGTACGACTCGTTCCTGGTTTGTACGAGACTCGCGTAGTCGTCTGCGAAAGCTACACTGCTACCGCTGGAGTAGTACACACGGATCACAACGATACGCGCGTCGCCCACCGCAGCGGCAAGAGGAACTATGATCACTTCCTTTTGCAGCTGTGATGATCACTTGAAAAAAAACACGTCGTTGCTTGCGTCGCAGCGCTCACTCTGCGTGTTTCGCGTGGAACTAATCTGCATTGCATGCAGCCCTGCAGGCAGGCTGGGCCCTGATATCGGCATGCGCATGCAGTCACCACTGCACTGGCACTGCACGGACCACGGATCCGCGATCCGAGGAGTACATGTACAGGTACGTAGACTCATGCACGGTGTTGTGTTTGAAGAAAAACAATTTTAATAGTTTTCTCCTGGTGGACGTCGTTATGGCTTTGAGTTTGAACGTTTCCAGTGCTGCAGCTTACTTCTGGCACCTCTGTCCAGGGGTTCTGGTACTTCAGCGTGACAGGCGGGTGACATCGACGGTGACAGGTACAATCATGGACCTGTCAAGAGCCCGCTCCCCAAAAAAAGTCGTTATTGGAGTAGTGAATTTGACGTTGGGGGACGAAAATCGTGTCGTTAATCGCGAATTGTCGTTATTCAGATAGTCGTTGTATCCGAAGTAAAATGTATGCGATTAGAGGGGACTTTGCTCTGGGCATGGAAATCCTGTCGTTATTCGCGAATTGTCGTTATATCCGCAGTCGTTATTGGCGAAGTTGACTGTACATCCTCCGGGGGGGGGGGGGGGGGGAGGTAGTCCCTGGTTCATTATTATGTTGTGTTATCTTTATTTTACTTCACCGTAGCTGTGTCTGGCTATAAAAACCCTGCAATCGCCACGCAAAGTGGTCCCTGGCTACCCCAGCCATGTATTGCTTGGAGTGTCCCTGGCTACCCCAGCCCTGGCTACCCCAGCCATGTATTGCTTGGAGTAACCCTGGCTACCCCAGCCATGTATTGCTTGGAGTGTCCCTGGCTACCCCAGCCATGTATTGCTTGGAGTGTCCCTGGCTACCCCAGCCATGTATTGCTTGGAGTGTCCCTGGCTACCCCAGCCATGTATTGCTTGGAGTGTCCCTGGCTACCCCAGCCATGTATTGCTTGGAGTGTCCCTGGCTACCCCAGCCATGTATTGCTTGGAGTGTCCCTGGCTACCCCAGCCCGGTGTATTGCTTGGAGTGTCCCTGGCTACCCCAGCCCGGTGTATTGCTTGGAGTGTCCCTGGCTACCCCAGCCCAGTGTATTGCTTGGAGTGTCCCTGGCTACCCCAGCCCGGTGTATTGCTTGGAGTGTCCCTGGCTACCCCAGCCCGGTGTATTGCTTGGAATGTCCCTGGCTACCCCAGCCCAGTGTATTGCTTGGAGTGTCCCTGGCTACCCCAGCCCGGTGTATTGCTTGGAGTGTCCCTGGCTACCCCAGCCATGTATTGCTTGGAGTGTCCCTGGCTACCCCAGCCCGGTGTATTGCTTGGAATAGAAGTAAAAAAACTAAAACTTACATGTATAGGTATTGTACAGGCAGAAAATTGAGTCGATCAATAATTTCGTCCAACTCCAAAGAAAGAGAGTTCGTACGGTTGAACATTTCGTCCATGGATCGTAAGAATGTATCAAAAAGCTGGGCAAATCGACATTTTGAACTCGGCCATTTTGTTGCACTCGCTGACTGTATAAGATCTGGTTACGTTGGTGGACAGTTTGTCATAACTCGTAACATTTTTGTCCTTTTGCTTTCTAAAGCATTTTATTTAGTCCAAACCCTCCTTGGACAAAAAAAGACGAAAATATATTCCTTATTTATTGCGGTTATCAACATATTCCAGACGAATATTTCCGCTTATACAGTACAGGCCTTGCTGCATGTATATGTCTGTGCCTGTGTGCATGTATAATGACTATGATTATGTGTGTTATGCCTATGGGTTTATCTAATCACTACACCTCTATGTGTGTATCTAATCACTACAACTCTATGTGTGTATCTGATCACTACAACTCTATGTGTGTATCTGATCACTACAACTCTATGTGTGTATCTGATCACTACAACTCTATGTGTGTATCTGATCACTACAACTCTATGTGTGTGTGTATCTGATCACTACAACTCTATGTGTGTATCTGATCACTACAACTCTATGTGTGTGTATATATTATTAAATCACTGCAAACAGTGTGGATACTCCTGTACCAGCACCCCAGCCGGTCAAATGGACTGACGAGCCACATCATGATGCCGCTGTTACTGTCAATGTAAGGGAAACCCAGAGAGGTCGTATGCCGCGCCAATGAGATTCTTCGAACAATACTTTAGGTGGCCGAGGACTTGTTCCTGTTCCCTGGGTCAGAACCAAGCAGGGAATTAGTGTAATTTCGCAAATTATTGGTGTGCTTTTATTTTCGGTACTTTCAGTGCATCTGGTTCATACCTACTTGAAGTAAAATTCCAATACACCAAACAAACACTAACACCTAATCCAATATGCTTCTCTGTGCCTAAAATTTCTATTCACATAACCCACATAACCTGGCCTTTTGCTCTGATTCCGAAAATTTTCAGCACCAAAAATTTCTGAAATTTGAATTCACGTATTGGGTGCTCCCTCAGGGTAATGTGTCCTGTCAATACATGAACCGTGCAAGCAAAACAAGATGTGAAACCCCTGACGAATCATGGCCTACACAACTGTTTACAGGTCGTGTTACTTGTACAACAGAATTTGCTATTGCATAAAACCCGCTATAGAAGTTATGGGACCACAGTGAAACTTCGTTAAAAAGAACACTGATAAGACAAACGGCGAGGAGACAACAATTTCATAACTGATTGCGGTTATCAAACTGATAAGACAAGTTTTGTTTAAGAGGAAGTAATATTCAAAACTCTATCGGATAAATGATCGTGTATTCAATGGGTATAAGATATGGATACAAGCAAGAAGAACTCTCGTTATTGCGAAAAATGCCATCGGTCCCTTGGTGTTCGTCCTAAAGAGATTTGACTGTACATTATCTGTTGTAAAGCTTTCGCAAAGTTGCGGACTTGCAATAGCCAGTAACGCTGTGCACTTAATGCCCATTAGAAAATCCGCCGTGAAATCATTCGAATGCAACGACCATTGGGTCCACATGCCTGCCTCTATCTCTCTCTCTCTCTCTCTCACCCTCTCTCTCTCTCTCTCTCTCTCTCTCTCTCTCTCTCTTTCTCTCTCTCTCTCTTTCTCTCTCTCTATATATATAATTATATATGTTCAGTATGAAAAGGGACGACTGACGACAAATTATCCAGACAATACAACGGGAACAGGTAGGTTGGTGGAACGGCATTTATTATAGACGACGAGACAAGAGACCAAGACGAACGAAACGACTACATTGAAGAGTGAGAAAAGAGAGGAAGATATCAAGTCTGAACGGCAAGATAAAGGGCCTGGGTAGCCATGGCCATTATGGGCGCGCAAGTAGCTACCCAGGCCAACGGAACAAAAGGAGACAAAAGGTGAGTACGCGAGTGCATGCAGGCCAGCTAGGAAAGGTACGGGAGGAGGTACCTAACATACCTCCCCTGAGTGAAAAAAAGAACCGCGACCTCGCGGGAAATAATAAGACGATGAGAAAATAGAGAGAAACAATGACCGAGGAAGATGAGAAGAAAAAAAAACAAAACAAAACACACACACAACGCACGGGCCTCACAAAAGTGTGTACTATAAAATGCACTACAGATCATTACAACCGCCAACGTTCCTGTACTACTTTTAGTGTGTACATTGCCAATAACAACGGGCCCAAACGCCCCTTCATAATTTTTTTGAACTTTGGTACTTTAGCTGTACGCTGATTGGTGACAATGCAACACAATTATTGTGGAAAGGTCATAACAATAAGGGCATGTTCGATTGGTAAGGATCGGGATCGGGATCCAGATCTCAGATCCCTCGGATCCTTCAGATTCAACTGAACACTTTATTTTGGACCTTGACTGTTTCCATGTTGAAAATGGTGCTCACAAGGCACCCAAAAGGTTGAACGTCGTACTCATCCCGTGCGTCGTACAAAAAGTCAACAAACTCTATCTCCATCCACGTGTGCGTACCACAATGTGTACAAAAATGATTTTTACCCCCCCATATACGCACAAAGGTCACATTTGGATCCAAATCCGAAGGATCCGGATCCGGATCCGACCAATCGAAAGGGTGCGAATCCAGTGGATCCGGTGGATCGGGATCCTGATCCTACCAATCGAACATGCCCTAAGAGACAAGATCAAAAGGAAACCTTTACAATAATAATAATAATAAAACGTAGGCTGTAAAATGTAAAAAGTCACTGAGTACAGTTTAGTTCACTATCCATGTCCAGTACTTCCTCCGTTAACAAAAACTTCGTGATGGATTTTGATCGACATGAAAACGCTTAGAACAGGTCAAGAACAGTTTGTATCGACTGCAAATCACTGGACGAAGATGATTCAGCCTATGTACAGCGTCTTTACAAGAGAAACTGTTGGGGAATGAGCAAAGAGTTCAGTTTGCGTCGCTTTCGCTCGACTCATTTTTGACCTCCGTCGCTGTCGTCATCTGCTGCACGCGAGTCGTCATCTCTCTCGAGTCGTTCAGCTCATTTCAGCCTTGCCTCAGCTTCTTTGATCACACTCCGCTGACCTTGATGTCGCCGTCGTTCAAGTTAGTAGGCTTTCAAGCTGCGTGATCCGCCGCAATGGCGATTACTCGTTTCCATCAGGGAGTAGTGAAAAATATTTTACGACTCCCTGGTTTCATCTTCACTCTCCAGAACTCCGCGAAACGAGGAGTAAAGGCACAGCCAAACTGATTCTATTTTCTCTAATGAATTCCCCTGCCAGCACTGAACGGCAGCGGCTAGCAAGTCCAGTCGACTTTCTTTAGCCACGAGACTCGCATCGGACTGCAGACTTCTGAAAGAATGCATGGTCATCAGCATTCGAATCTGGGCTTTGCGCAGGTTGAACAAGAACTTGAGTTCAGAATTATTTTCATTGAGCCGTGCGATCGGAGCAGCTCCTTGTTCACTCGCTTATTGTGTGGGCTCGCTGCTCCGTTTTATCGCTCTCTATCACTCTCCAACTTACTCAGTGCTTAAGTGGTAGAGAGGCCAAGCAGCGCAATATCCCCTCGGAGAAGTGGTATTTTAGTTTCGCTCGCCATGACTGTCATCACCGATGTTTCAACAGCGCAACCATCGATTCCGCTCGGCTTGTTGTAAAAGGTCGCTCTTCTTGTATCGTACCTCTTTCATGGCATGCCAGGGAAGGCCAAGAAATTGATTGCGACTCATTTGACGGCAGTTTGTGCCCAAATCAGCCCCTCAGAAATCCATCACGAAGATTTTGTTAAACCGAGGAAGTATTTATAATAAAAATAGTCTGCTGCAATTTATAGATTCTCACATGTGAGCAACCTGGGCCTCAGCAACAACCAGCTCAGCAGACTCCGGATGCCGAACCGATCGCTCACGGAAAAGACCCCGTGAACCCTACAAACACATGATGCATGATCGCAACAGGGCAAATGAGAGCATGGCCAGCAATCAAGGACATCTGAGAGTTGTAATTTTTGTACTCCTCCAAGGTGTGATTTTTGGCGTGCTGGGTCAAGCACAAGGAAGCCATCTGCAAAAAAACTGCAGAAAATGGTTGTTGTTTGATCCTTTGGTGTAATCTTTGTTTCTAGTCGAAGCTAGTTGCTGTTTGGAGCAGAAACGCTGAAATTGACTATTTTCTGCATGTACTCATACATGTACTCCTGTACTCAGGCATGCAGTCTTACTCGTATTTTAGCTATTTTTCTGGAATGGATGCTGCTCTGCGCCCCTTGGTGAACATTTCCTGCGCTCGTGGAGCAGCTGAAAAGGACCACTGGTATGTCTGGTTCCTGGTTTGAAAGTGGAGAGTCGACTTTTGTGCCTTGAAAAAGGAGTAGAGAGCGATAAAGGTACGTCTGTGGCTGATTTTTGAGTGCTCCTCGTACATTTTTGATCGTGATAGAAATTCTCAGACCAAAGTCAGACCAAAGTCAGCGCGATGATGGTCGTACAGTTTTCTTGTGAATTTTTTAGTTGTTTCATCTCGTATCTATGTCAGATCGTGATGGTGAAGTGGAGAGGGTGATTTTCTTCCTCTAGGGTTCGTTCGGCCGACTTTGCTTCGTCCTCGTTGAAAAGTGATCCTGAAAAAAAGGTCGATTCGCAAAATTATGTTGATTTTCAATGTACGAGATGACATGCGATTGCTGGCTATGACGGCATCTGATGAAAGATATTACGTGGGAGTACTGCTCCTTCCTCCTTTCCGCTCTCAATAACGCGATTCGGCGATAGAGTGATGTCGCCGCTCTTCCCATGCCACCACTTGCCGACAGCACAACAGGCATGAACGTCACATGCTCCACCTCTCGCACTCTCTCTTCATAGCAACGTCGCTTTTCTTTTTCATGGCGCCGATAGACAGTGATGTGTGGTGCAGATCGATTTGAGCGTGCATGAGGATTAAAAACCCGTATATCAAGTAAAGTACGCTCGAAACGACTGCCCGACAAACCACTGGCCACTACATCAAGCCGCGCATGCTCCTCCACAATAGCAGACCTGTATCTCATTCTCTCTCCAGTGAGTGGCTGCAGCAGTGGCCCAATGGAGACATTGTGACAGGTCTCTTGAAGGAGAGAGGCTGTCACATCCCGGATCTCATTATGGCGGATAATGGTAAAACCACCAAGGGGACATGACAAGGCATGGTCAATACCATTGTCCCGTCCACAAGAGCAATGAGTTGGTAACCTCGGCGGCATCCAACCATAACGGAGGCACAAGCCGTCCATGAACTCAGCTTTGCTCAGTGAAAAGCCATACTTTTTCAATGGACGGCAAGTCAGCCAACTCGAGGCGCCAGGTTCACGGGCGAGGACAATGGTGTGTCGCAAGGCGTCCGACGCATCATTGCTGATACGCCGTGCCGACTCCGCCTGGCTATGACGCACTTCCTTCTTCCTCTTCGCCTTCTCCCGCTTGATGCCAATCAGAGAATTCCCAATATCAGACACACGATCCACGATACGCCGGGAGAGAGATGCTGTGATGGCGACAGACGACTCATACTGGGCGCACAAAGTCATCGGGCTGACCAGGCCCAGGCCACCCAAACGACAGGGCATTGCGAGTACTTCCCTCAACACTATGCCAGGCGGTGGCCGACCCGTCATTGCTGGGATAAGCTTCGTGCTTATCACGTCGTCCAGTGGCTGGAACTGGGACGGAGAAATAGACTGAACGCAGCATAGGAAAGCCCAGCGACTTCTCATGCCCGAGACATATGCATAATATGCTGCCTGGGGCTGCGAGCGAGCGAAATCAGCCAATCGAGTTAGCTCATCAGCCCACTCCTGGACCTTAGTCGATACAAAGTTCTCCTTGAAGTCAGCTGAGCCGATGGCTGCCCCCAGGTACCGAGCTCCATTACACGTAATGACGACACTGGTGTCGCTGAACAGCTCAACTGCCTCACAATAGCAACGCTCCTTCATCACCAGAATCGATTTTGATGCATTTGGGAAATATCCATAAGCTGGGCCATCACTTGCCAAGATGTCTCACCAACGACGGAGCCTACGCAACACACTCGCCGCTGCGGAATCATCTGCAAACCAAGACTGGATAGTCCCGGCTTGTTCTGCTTTGTGCACGAGAGGCATCATGCCAATGGCATACATGTACATTGCCAGAGGGTCTCCCTGGGTTGTCCCCTCCTCCGACAAGATGCAATCACCGTCGACATAATTATAGGCATGCAGGCGTGCTGTAGGTGTTAATTAAAACAGTGGCCAGAGGCGGGCAAAGATGTTGAACATTCCGAAGGCAGACGCTGCGATTCAGGCGATTCAAAGCATTTGTTGCGTCTGCCATCAGAATTCCATCAGTCTCTTCACGAGCAAACGCCTCCTGCATAGCATGTATGCCCGCCTCCACCCCGCAGTCCTGACCGGCACACAGCTGTGAGCAGCCAACAACCAGCTGAACCGCAGGGCCAACAATGGACACAATTGCTTTCCCCACAATGCGGCGAACAACCTCGCCGATGCCAATTGGTCTGACACTGGGCCGCTTGTCCAAGGGCAGCAAGCGACATGCAGTGAATGCCATCAATGCACCAGCATCAATATGCTCAGTGGCCACTCTCCTGGCACAAGAAGCAAGCGCATCACACAACCCATCCGAAGCGTCCGTGAAACTGGAGCACATATGACGCCAGGCCTCAGCATTCACACCGCTGGGTACCGCTGCGCCCTGTGTGCCTCGCGCTGCCTGCCGGATAGCACGGCGCCCCAGCGAAGCAGAATAGATGGGATGCGGAGGAGGGGGCGGCTGTCCCGGTATCAGAGCCTCGTCGCACACGGGCTCAGCCTCAGGATGCTTCTGCTTCAATATATCGATTACTGGAACACCGTCAATTTCATCACTGATGCTGTGCACTCCGCCGCCACGATCAGCACCAAGGCAGCGCAGAGCAGCCGATAGCCTCCCGGATGCGACACAATCCGCAAACTCCCGTGCAGGATCATCAGAACGACCTCGACCCCTTGTACTGGACTTCTCTCGGAGATTGTGGATAGTCTCTGTTTCCAACAATAATTCATTAATCTGACCATGAAACCACTGGTCCAAACGCCTGTTCAGGAGCTTGACATGAGGAGGAGGATCACTGCGCAGAACCTGCAGCATCAGCATCTGAAATACTGCTGCCACCATCAACGCGCTGTCAGCGTATGATCCTGCATCACCAAAACAGTTGAAATAAGTAGATAGAGTTGTTATAAATCTCCGGCCAACATTTCCAGCACTTGAAATGCATTCGGAGCAAGGTGCACACACTTATCATATGCTGTGGAAAGAGCCGTCATAGTCTCAGATGCCGTCAAATTCCCCAGACAAAAAGTTTCACGAGGGGCTGTCACATGGCCGCAGTCATCCACACCAGGTACTACTGTGGTCGACAAGGGTCGATCCTGAACATGTTCCTCTGGAGAAGACTCCGCCAATGGCTGAGCACAATGAACCGCACCACCATCACGCGCAATCGATGCACATGACGAAGCAGCACAAACGCCATGGACAGCATCAAGGTCGTTACTGTCAGGAACCAAAGCGACAGGGACGCTGGCACGCAAAGGTCCAGCCACGGAACTGCAACGAGAAACAACAGCCACTGGCACTGTTGAAAGGTCATCACCCACATGTGCACTCTCATCAGCAGCCGCCATCCGAAGAACAGCATTATGGGCATGGTTCGAGTTCATAAAATGGCACAAAAATAACTATTGGAGTTTGACGAGGAACGTGAATTGCATTCTGATTACTAGTATTTTGCACGGCTAATACAGCCTAGTTACACTTTAATATACGACATAAATAGAAGAGCGTGGCTCACCATGATCGGACCCCTAATATCAATGAAGGACACCCGCGCGCACACACACTACAAAAATCACAAAATAAAATAAACCGAAAATAAATTTGACAACGAAGGACGGATGAAAAAGAAAGAGAGAAATAAAGAAAGTAGCTAACCTGCATGACTTGGACGGGACGAGGTTGACATCGAAGAGACGAGGTTGACATGGACGAGACGAGGTTGACATAGACGAGAAGAGGTTGGAGACGAGACGAGATGGACATGGACGAGACGAGGTTGACATAGACGAGACGAATTTCGGTTGAGGACGACTGGGCATGGGATGATCTCAGGGTCGTGGGTCGATCAAATAATCGGGCGCCAATGTTGAGTGCCGATATTGAGTATGAAAAGGGACGACTAACGACAAATTATCCAGACAATACAACGGGAACAGGTAGGTTGGTGGAACGACATTTATTATAGACGACGAGACAAGAGACCAAGACGAACGAAACGACTACATTGAAGAGTGAGAAAAGAGAGGAAGAGATCAAGTCTGAACGGCAAGATAAAGGGAGTGAGTAGCAATGGCCATTATGGGCACGCAAGTAGCTACCCAGGCCAACGGAACAAAAGGAGACAAAAGGTGAGTACGCGAGTGCATGCAGGCCAGCTAGAAAAGGTACGGGAGGAGGTACCTAACATATATTATATCTCTCTCCCTCCCTCCCTCCCTCCCTCTCTCTCTCTCTCTCTCTCTCTCTCTCTCTCTCTCTCTCTCTCTCTCTCTCTCTCTCTCTCTCTCTCTCTCTCTCTCCCTCTCTCTCTCCCTCTCTCTCTCTCTCTCTCCCTCTCTCTCTCTCTCTCTCTCTCTCTCTCTCTCTCTCTCTCTCTCTCTCTCTCTCTCTCTCTCTCTCCCTCCCTCCCTCTCTCTCTCTCTCTCTCTCTCTCTCTCTCTCTCTCTCTCTCTCTCTCTCCCCAGTTCGCAAGGCTGGGCGGGGTTGTGAGCAGGCTTTCATTTCATCTTTTCTTATTATTTCTTATTAGGCCACACTGAAGAAGGCCTGTGGTTCGACTCACCCGACCGACCGTACATTTTTCAGCCCGACCGTAACTTTTTTTCGGCGGGCTGTCGTGTGACTGACGTACGTGGACTGAACACGTCCACGTCTACGTGCTGTGCAGCGTGAGTCTGCGGACACAGGCGGCTCCTTTTGGACTTGACTTGTAGTTGTACTGCAGTGCAGTGCAGTGAGTGGTACGACTAACGCGACTGCTGCCTTGTGCTGGTAGTAGAGTCTATTCGATACGACCACCGGCAGACTGGCGCGACTTATTTTGAAGTGACCGTCCGGTTGAGAGTGATTGCCTCGTTCCAGATTAAGGACGGCCTTCTGTTTTGGGATGAAGGACAGACGAGATTGCACTTTCCTCGTGTATTGGGAACGATATTTCACCTGTACCGGTAAGTAGCTGCTCCATGTGTGCAAGCACAGGAAGCGTCGATGGAAAAAGCCCATGTATTCGTGCACGCCGACACCAAACTAGCAATACATGTACCGGTACATTGTACAATTTGTACTTCGAAGCAGGGAGTCGTAAAATACGACTCCCTGCTTCGAAGTAGTTCCCGAACTTACTTTCAACTCGCATCGTTCTTCATTTGCTTGATGATTTGGACAGTCAGAGTCACCGCTTGAAGTTTTTCTCTTCTCGTTCCAGAGCTACACAATGTTTCAAAGTATTAGCCAGTGATCCCTTTATACAACATGTATGGCATAACACTGCGTAATAATGCCGATGTACTGGGTGTCTAAAGGCAGTACAGTGTACATGTATTTACATGTACTAAAAAATATATTTAAAAAAAAAAATCCGCCCGCCCGCCCGTAAAAAAAATGTCCATGTTAGTCGAACCACACACCTTCTTTAGTTTGGCCTTATTTCTGCTTTTCATCTCATTACAAAAATTCTGCGCTTTTTCTCCATCTGCGCATAAAATCTAGACTGACAACCTGCTTGTTAAATCATGCACCTGCTTTCAGGCGTAAAAACCCTGTTGTAGAGGTCTCAGTCCTCATTTGTTAGACTTACCTGTCTTTATAAATGTAACTTACTCTCTCTCTCTCTCTCTCTCTCTCTATCTATCTATCTATCTATCTCTCTCTCTCATCTTATCCATTTCGTACAAATCATTGACATTCTCTTAGTCGTGGATCATGTGTTGTAGCAGACTAGTGGTAATCCTCTGGCCTTCACTCTTGTTTTGTCCTGTTCCTTTATAGACAGTGGCACTAAGTGCCGACACTGATGACAGCCCGCCTCCTGAGACCGGCACCTTCCTCGGTGGAGCCGAGCGACCTAAGAGCAGCACACCACCCCCAGAAGACGACTCTCTGTGCAGGAAAGACGCCAATCTACCGGACACGGTCGCGAAAAGAGAATCCTCGCCAGTGCCACCCCCTAGCGCTCTTTCAACGTCGCGCAACCAGGCGCCCGCAGCGGCCGAGGATGAAACAAGCGGTGTTTCTGAGACAGCCGCCGTGAGCACGTTCCATAGTGCCAGTAATCCCGAGGTGCCACCTACCCCTAGCAAGCGCGAACCAAAGTCCTCACAGTGAGTCCATGACTTTAGTTATGAAAATGAATGGAATCATTCGAATTTTGAGGACGAGAAAATCCCCCTTCCACCGTCCTGCCCAACATGCTGAAAATTCGGATGATTTTATTCTTTTTCTGTGTTTGGTGTACAGTAGGTCAGGGACCACTTGGACAGTGCTATAAGCCGTAAGGGGGAAACAACTGAGTCGACAAGTCGACTGGCCATTCGATACGGTTCAGTCACACTGTCCTGCGAGCTCAGGCCATGTACATGTACATGTACTATAAAGTACACTGGGAACCTGAATCCATTCGCTTTAGTAGGGGATTTTCTTTTCTTTTTTGCTTTTAATTTTTACCAGGCGTGGCCCATCCCCTGAATTCGTAGGTGCCAAACATTTCCTGTTTTTCATAAGATAATGAACTCTGCACAAAAAAAGAAGTTGCCTTTTTTTCGCGGCTTTAATAGGGGATTCACACACACGGGTAAAACCATGGTTGTTATGGAAACCATGGTACTGGGGGAAAGGAAGAACCTCTCGGGAAAAAATCGGCAAAGCCGTGGCCGTGGGCCTCAGGGCGTTTGTCAAGGGAAAATCCCATGGCTGTCAGATGCGCATGCGTAGACCTTGTGTTTGGCGAGAACTCTGAACCCTAGTTGTGCGAGTGCATCACAGCCTGCATTTTCAGACAGTTCCCATTGGAAATCGTACAGAATGTACTACAAAGATGCAGTACAGATTTTTTTTTAATTCCCCCGCCACAAATTCATGGCTAAACATGCGGCCAAGGGAAAACTGACAACACTCCGTTGACCAAAGAAATTTTACCTTGTCCCGTGACCTCAGGTTTCCCCGTGAATGTGAATCCCCTATAACACACAGCCAAGTACAAAAAAGTGCGAAAAACATTCCGCATTGGTCCATTTGAACGTTGAAACCTGCAATGTGCTCATATTGTGCTTCTGTTTTGCTTGTGCATGGATGTGTGACCATGCATGTGCGTGAATGTATGCCTACATATGCTGCGCTTGTGTTCATGTGTGAGGGCAATGTCGGTCGATTACCAGTCGATAGCCAGTCGATGGGATTGAATCTAGTCGATGAGGAATTTGGGTCAGTCGTTTCACACCTATTATAACAGGGACGTCGGACACGGTACGGTCACTACGGTATTGACCGTACCAATTTCTGCCCCAGGTACCCTGTGAATCTATATAATACACTCATCTGGGCTCGAAATTTCCAAATTTTTCGGCTCAGCCACCCTCTCCCACGAGTAAATTGTACTTCAGATGGCTGACCGTACCACACTAAAATACCTTCCGACCCCCCCCCCCCCCCCCCCCCCCGTATAAGGACATACATGTATGGTTGGGATGGATGGCTACAGAGCAGTCTGTATGTATCCGAGATGTTCCCTGCTGTGTGAATTTGAGCAACATTGCGGAAGTGGACAGGAAAAACCCGTGAACTCGCATGTTTGCACCCCAGTTAAGGACAGCTGTCTACGGATAGTATGTACGTGGCGCTCCAATAACGGAGCTGCTCCGTCAGTGAATTAAATAATAGTGTGGATTCACAGGAAGTGTGAGTTACGAAATCTGAGGAAAATGTTGAAGGGCCTCTGCTGGGATGACGACTACACCATAGCTCAGTGGTTAGAGCATCGCTGGCTACAAGCGAGGGTCCCTGGTTCGAGTCCTGGTGGTGACAGTCAATTTTTTCTTCAGACTTTTCCCGTTTGTCTCTTTCCCTCAAACCAGTTAAAATAATAATAATAAAAAGAATAATAAGAAAGGTTTGCTCCCCACACCGGAGCTCGCGCTATTCCGCCGACTTTACTTGACACTTGACTGACTCACGACTGCCATCCAGAGCACACGAGAAGTCCATCAAACCTTCGACTCGGCAAACCTGCAAGAAAGCACCACTCCCTGCTCCGGTGTGGGGAGCAAACCTTTCTTACAAATCATCGCCGAAGTCGCAACCACTACTTCGTAATAATAATAATAATAATTTAAAGAGTCGGCGTGGAGAAAGCAATTTTATTAGTGCAATTAGGAGTATAATCGATGCAGACATGGCCAGACAACAACAAGTTCATGGAATTTTTAAGGATTTTTATGTTATTCAAAATCGATTTTCGTGTTCCGCTCATCAGTGAATAGTATCGGAACTGAGGGTACTGTGTACAAAAATAGAACATTTTATAACAGCATAATTAATTAAAAGTGCGAACAACAAAGGAAGTGCTACAGCATTACATAATAGGTGTCAACCAGCAACGGTGACGCGGAGCAGCGGTCAAACGACTTGTGATGCTGGTGGAGATGATGGAGCCATGTTGGAGGCTGATAAGGAGTGCAGTGAGACTGAGCATCAAACGGATGATGAGGAAGTGACTGATGATGATGATGGTGGTGATGAGGACGATGATGATGAAGATGAGACGGAGGACGAGGATAAGGCGGAGGAGATCGAAGGAAAGGAGCGGGATGAGACGGAAGAGAGCGACGTGAGCAAAAAGTCAGCTGTATTTTGTCACTTGTTATCACGTCCAGATTGTCTTAGTGTGTACGATGATTCTCACTTTTCTGTTTTGTGCCGTGCAAGTTATGTTAAGCAGTTGAAGGTTCTGGAAGCTGTATGTATTCGTGTGCATAATCCTGTTCTTTGTAAACAAAAGAAGCATGTAGTCGCGCTAAAGTTGTTCTCGTAGCTGGTTATCAGATGTAAATGTTGTGTCATGTTGCACTGTATCACCTCTTGCTTTGTGGCTGCACTCAGTTATATACGTTAGCACTATGTTTGACAGCTATTATGTAATGCTGTAGCACTTCCTTTGTTGTTCGCACTTTTAATTAATTATGCTGTTATAAAATGTTCTATTTTTGTACACAGTACCCTCAGTTCCGATACTATTCACTGATGAGCGGAACACGAAAATCGATTTTGAATAACATAAAAATCCTTAAAAATTCCATGAACTTGTTGTTGTCTGGCCATGTCTGCATCGATTATACTCCTAATTGCACTAATAATAATAATAATAATAAATGGTTTGCTCCCCACAATAATAATAATACTAACTGATTTGAGGGAAAGAGACAAACGGGAAAAGTCTGAAGAAAAAATTGACTGTCACCACCAGGACTCGAACCAGGGACCCTCGCTTGTAGCCAGCGATGCTCTAACCACTGAGCTATGGTGTAGTCGTCATCCCAGCAGAGGCCGTTCAACATTTTCTTCAGACTTCGTAACTCACACTTCCTGTGAATCCACACAGGCGGGTGGGACGCAGCCCTCACTGTAACCCACACACTTCACGTACAAACTAGCACGCGGGGAGCCCCAAGTCATAAAATACTAACTGATTTGAGGGAAAGAGACAGACGGGAAAAGTCTGAAGAAAAATTGACTGTCACCACCAGGACTCGAACCAGGGACCCTCGCTTGTAGCCAGCGATGCTCTAACCACTGAGCTACGGTGTAGTCGTCATCCCAGCAGAGGCCGTTCAACAATAATAATAATAATAATAATAAAAGGGTTTGCTCCCCACACCGGAGCTCGCGCTATTCCGCCGACTTTACTTGACACTTGACTGACTCACGACTGCCATCCAGAGCACACGAGAAGTCCATCGAACCTTCGACTCGGCAAACCTGCAAGAAAGCACCACTCCCTGCTCAATACACAGTGTTTCGGGGAACTCACCCCTCATCAGTTGAGCTTGAGTAGGCTGAGGTGTGGGGAGCAAACCCTTTTCTTACAAATCATCGCCGAGGTCGCAACCACTACTTAATAATAATAATTATAATAATAATAAAAGTAGAAAGGAAAAGGACATATGGAAACGAGTTGAGAGTAACTCTCCACCACTGTAACTAGATACTATATACAGTCAGAAAGTGCAACAACTAGGCACAAAACTGACAGAGTACTGAGACATTCGACGTCCTTGCCTTCCCCTCTTTGGTCTTGCCATAACCTTGAACCTTCCAAGTTGGAAGGCTGTCGGTTAGCGCTACGGAGATGTGTTGAAGCTAGGTGTCAGGACGTCGAATGTTTCAGTACTCTGTCAGTTTTGTGCCTAGTTGTTGCACTTTCTGACTGTATATAGTATCTAGTTACAGTGGTGGAGAGTTACTCTTAACTCGTTTCCATATGTCCTTTTCCTTTCTACTTTTATTATTGGCTCAATACCCGAGTTTCAAATAATAATAATAATAATAATAATAATAATATGAAACTCGGATGTTGAGCCATAAATAAATAATAATAATGGACCTCTTTTAAAAAATAATAATAATAATAATTTTATTAACAATGTAAGCGATGGAGACGATGCAAGAAACAACCTAAAGGGTAAGGAAAAATACATGTAAGAAGAAAAAGGGCAATGGAAAAAAAGATGATTCGAACAAGTTTTCGTACAACACTCTTCAGGAATCACCGTTGTACTAAAGAACAAAATGAGAACAAAGGAAATAATATAGCAATCAAGGTAGGGTGACACGATACAATGACAGCACTAGAATATCGAGGTGCGATTTCTCACAAAAGTGTGCAGAAAACAAGGGTATACAAGTAAGAACTAAGCGTGACAAGTGTGTATCAGCAACAAAAAACAAAAAAGTGAGAACGAATGATAATAATAACAATCATAAACAAGAAGGTGACAAAACACATTTAGGCACAAGTGGCAACAACGTTGCCACACTACACAACAGAACATTATTTGAACAATTTTAGGGTAATAACACTATCTTTCTGGACACACAAATTCGGCTTATGAATGCGCTGACAAACAGCTTCCAAAACTTGTAACTGCAAAAGATAACCATGACGAGCACGGCACAAAACAGAAAAACAGGAATCAGAATACGTACGACAACAGTCAGTACTAGAAACCAAATGATTGTATACTGAAGACTTGTTATTACGAGACGGACGCACACAATCTCGACTCACGCGCACACCCTCACACTCCCTCTCACCCTCACTCAGCTCACC